TCGACGTACCATAGTGGAGGTTTTCATATTCCCTGCCACGTAGACGATGGCATTGTATGGGGGTGGCCACTGGGAGCATGAATGCATACATGCAGGTCACGGCCGATGGCAGCATCAGATACAGTGGATTCACATGCACCGCATTTGCCTACCCCCATGGGGAAATGAAAATGAAGTTGTGGAGAGAGAACACTCTCAACCGATATTAATATCTATCGAGTTGGTGGCCCCAGCACACACAAGCCTTCGGTGTTCGACGGTAGACGTATCAATAACTCTAACGACTTTCATCATGGGATATCGTATCCTCGCGCATTCCACGCTAGTTGCTCTTATATAATGCGGTACAATTGCTTATGTAGTCACGGTCTTTCGACGGCATGAAAACACTTGGGGTTAGAAGCATTAAATTAATATACAAGATGTTCATAAAATGACGCAACCGAGTGAAAACGTAGTAAAACTTGTGGCTGAACGGATTTCCACGAAATCGGAGATCGTAACTCTGGGCAACATGGAATTTTTGCAATTTTTAATGGATAGCTAACGCGAGGCGGCCTGAAATCACCTGCCTTTTCACAAATGTACAACACATCTTGTTACTGGTCAGGGTAGGAAAGTTGGAGTCGTCACCATCCGAACAGACGAAATCGCTCTTGCGATTACCTAGTTTAATGGCAGTAATGACTTGCTGTAATGGAAATAATGACCTGCTTAAATGGCAGTAATCACCTGCTATTTCATAAATGTATTGAACGCGATTGCCATAAGGCGGAGAATGCAGTTGAAACAGGGCACTGCCAACCGCGAGTGCTGACGACTCTAGTCAAGCGCCTTCGACGAACTGAACGCATTCGGGGGGGAACAACGACGATAGTCGCCCAAGATGGACGATGGCCTAAGATGCCCCAAACCTACAGGTTTATAATGAAATGTGGTACTGAAACTCCAAAAAACGTGTAGGAAAATTGAGGAAATTCTCAAGGTAATTGCATCGCCCTAGGAAAAAAGAAAGCGACGCCATCGATAACGTCATTTCACCATTGAGCAAGCTGATGCACGGATATGAATTACCCTACGTCGATGAAGCCCTCGAAAAACTCGTTGAAATTGCCTTGGGAGATTTTATCTTAGCACTGCCTTGCCGTTAGGCACCGAAAAACAGCCACTCGAGGCGAACGGACATTTAGTCCACGGTTCCTCGGTCTGCCATTGACGTCTCTACCGAGGGAACTTAGCCCTAAACTGGAAAAAGGTTCCCCGGAATTCCGCCCAATTCAGCAAGGCCGTGGACCGCTATCGCAGTCGAAGCCTCCGCTGCGTGCGTGGAAGCCATGACAGCATCTACCCTTCCCATCCCTATTTCCACCCGAGTTCCATGTCGGATCGACATACGAGGTTATCTGTGCCACACGGGATTCATCGGAATCATCTTCCCAGCTTTCATCTTCATTAGAGGCGAGACTAATGTTTAGGGGCAAATAAATTAGAAAATTATTTAGGGAAACTAATTTGCTTTATTGGATTCAAATGTTCCCCGGAAGAAAAAGTGGTTTATGTACGGGCTACTGTTTGGGAAGACGAGCTTCTTTTCGTCCAAGATTCAGGAATCTGTTTCGAAAATGAGAAGAATAAGAATGAGGAAGTGTCCGCATTTATTACTACCTATCTCGTATAATGAGGCTAGGCGAAACACTGTGGGAAATGGTAGCACCATAACTCCATCTAGTAGTCTAAAACGGAACTTTACATCCCACAAATAACCCTTGCAAATGGTGTTTCACTCTCATCTATATCTTTTCTTCTGTTTAACCCTGAAAAAGGTCAAAACCTGAATTCTGGTCGGTTACATCCGATTCCTATGAAGAACTATCTCTTTGGGGATAAATATGCCGTCTCAAAAAAAAATAAAATATTGAATAAAATAAATAAATAAATAAATAAATAAATAAAATAAAAAATATATATATATATGTATGTATATATGTATTCCTTCTCTTGATAGCCTATTCGAAAAAAAATCTGAGATAGTTAATAATTGGTCTCATACGTAGGGACCCTTTCTTCTTTCGCTGAAGATGGTCGTTCGAGGGTTTTACAAAAGTGAGAAACTGGCTCGTCTTCAGGGTGGATCACGAGTCCCATGTCGTTTAGAGCCTACCCTGTATGTCATACATCGACGACTTATTACTGCTGCATATCGCGGGCTGCCACCGATGGAAAGTAAAAAAGAGCAAAGCAAACACTGTTCTTGATTAAAGCGTTAAGAGCCAACTAAGTATTACAATAGATTGAAGTGTTATGAGCTGGGCAAAGACAGACGAATGGTGGCCGTGTTGGAAACCATTTTATGGCCCGTTACGGGAGTTAAGATGAAGACGAAGAGTCTCGCAACTCCATTTATTTAACGACCATTTATTGCACAAGGTGCAATAAATGGTCGAGGACATTTGAGCCTACTAGATAAGATAATGTCGATTATGTCTGCATGTCTCATCCCCACACCCCAGCCTCATGCAGCCGATGCATTCGGAACCGGGAAGAACTTCGTATCTCTGTTCTTGTGAAAGTGAGACTTCGCAGTCGCCACGGGCATGCCTCTGCGACATCGCCGATTCCAAGGTAGCGGGAGCGAATTGTCCAAGCATCCTGAAGATGGGCCGCCGCGACGAAGAGTCACCCTTAAGGATATGTGGGACGATTTGAATCGGAGTCGTCAGACGCTTTCTACTTTGATTCGAGAGGATTTGGAAAATAATTATTTATACGAGGCTGCTTGGAATAAGGCCGAGGGTGTTTACAATCGAAAAGTCGAAGAGGGGAAGGTTCCAGAAGATTTGCCCGACGATTGGAAGTGCGTTTTCAAAGCCCTCATCGCCTACACTTTTGAGGAACCGAAGATGTACGAAGATTTCAAGAAGAAAACCAAAGATGCCTCGAAAGGAAAAGGTCCGAGACTCTACTATGACAGTCTGGAGAAGTCGCTGGGTTCCATTCAGATCCCATTCCTCGACCCGGAAAATTTTCCTTGGAACCTTTTCTCCACCTGGAAACCTTTCGGTCCCGTGACCCTTTATCGAGGCGAAGGCCACAAATTCCATGGAAAAGAAGGCGAAGAGTTCTACTTCAACCAGGTCGTCTCCACCTCCAAGAGCATGGAAGTTGCCTCGAGAGTTCACAGCCCGAACATGCTCACCATCGAAGGCGTCACCTGGGCCGCTCCGCTCTATCTCTTCTCTGCTGCAGAAGAGGAATTGGAACTCGTGCTCATGCCGAACTTACTGTACCGCGTCGAGCACGTCAAGAAGGGGAGGACTGTTACACATGTCAAACTTCTTGCATTGGATTTTCAATGTTGAGTAGCAGAAGTGCCTATTTCGGACTTGTAAAAGTGACAGATCTGTCAGTCGCATCTTTTGGAGGACATTCTAGACTCGGATGGTATCCTGCGATAGTTTAGAACTGTTCCTTCTTCTACTCATTATTTATATTATTGTTCCTATTTCTAATTCAATATACTAGGGGTTTTGGAGGAGATTGTCCGGCAAATATGAATATGAAGTAATATGAAAACCAATTTTCAATGGATTTCTCTTTCTTCAAACTCTCGAACTTCAAACAATGTCTCGAAGACCACGATTCACCCTTATAGGCCTAATTGGGCCTATAAGGGTGAATCGTGGTCTTCGAGACATCTGTTTGAGGACGTGTAACGTTAGGCCAATCGCAGGCCTATTCATACTATCACGAACCATTTCAGAGAAGACGTGTAACGTTAGACCGATTTGAGGCCTGTTTCGTGTTTCATGAATAATTTCAGTGCAGACGTGTAACGTTAGGCCTATCTGGAGTTCCTCGAACCATCTAGGATAGTCTGAGGAGAGAATCCCTCCACGATGCATGAAATCTATGGCACGCGTCATCTTGTTACTACCGGGATACCCAGATAAGATATCTATATATCCCACCACATCGATCAATCACTGCTAACCACCGCTTCATTCTCAGCTCATCTCTTGAACTCGGCACAAAAATGTCTCATGCATTAAGAAACAGAATATCCAGACCACAAAATGGCGGTTGAAACAGTCTTGAATCTGGCATAATTTCGGCACGACATCCGGCAACACTGGCAGACGGGACCGGAACCAGCACTCTAAGCTTAAATGAACGACAGCTAATTTCACTTTTTTGGGCGAAATGGTGCATCGCAAAAGGCCACTTTTCATCATCTACGAGTCAATATCTTTGCTAGTCTCGTTCCTCTGAAACCCCCCCCCCCCCTCCCAGGAGTGGCTACCCGGGGCGGGGGGGGGGAAGGAATGGAATTCACATCCTCCAAAAACGAGATTCAGCGTTCTTCACAACTCCGGGGAGATGAAGCTTCAAATAAGTTGGACCGATTCTGTGTTGAGAGAGGAAGAATATGCCTAATTTCGTTTCTGTTGATGCTCTCAGAGAGGAATACGAGGAGGATGAATTTTGCAACTGGAGGGGGTTGAAGAAAGATAGGAGGCGCTACCAAAGCCTATTGATGATTGTGCCATTCTTTAGGAATCATTCCACAATTTTCAAGGAGGAGAGATTCAACCCCAATTAAAGGTGATGTCGCTAGAAAAAAAAAAATCCCGCCGCTGCCAAAACTGACTTCACTCATTAAGGAAGACGTCTCCATACCAATCTGCCAATTCTCTGGCCAACAGTCGGGTATCGAGAATGAAAGGCTGATCTATTCACGCTGTTTCGTCTACATTTTTAATGCAAAACGCCATGATCCATGTCCATGTCTGTAATTCTTTGTATCCCCTTTCGTGACCAAAATGGAGGGGAAAAGAATTCCAGTAGGCAATACATCGACGTAGAAGTCCCAAGTAGGCACTGCACGACGATGAATTCACTACTGCGCGGTCTATCGAATCCTTAGAACGTAAACCAGGTACCGCGGAAAGGCTTCTCAAGAGGCAAATGGTCATTCTTTGGATGAAAAGGCTTGGGAAGTACTAGGAGAGAGTGTAATTGCAGTGGGAAAAGGGGGAAGACATGGAATCGCTCGCTTTTTCCGCCCATTCGGGAAATTTGGAGAAGTCGAAGAGATGATCCCCCAGAGTGTTGATCATCAGGTTGATCACCGCCACGCAGATCACGTTCATGACGAACCCGGTCTTCATCTGCACGGCGAGGAATCCCATTGGATGGGAAATTTTCCGTCCGTGAACGGAAGATAACGATGGAAAAGTAATAACGTGCCATGGTAGGGATCTTCATCTGGGTGGCCTCGTAGACTATAGCGTTAGGAGGGGCAGCTGATGGGAGCATGAAAGCGTACGAGCAGGCCACAGTCGATGGCAACATCAGATACAGGGGATTCACCTTCACCACGCTTGACTGCCCCCAAGAGGGAACGAGTAAAAATGAGAATGCACTGGGGAGATGGATTAAGCTATGCGCCTTTCTTACAGATTTTTAATTCAAATTTGTTCTGCATCGAGCAGAAGAGGTATTTTCCCGAAGCATGTAATTCTAACGAGGTTTTTTACGGGACGGAAGTGGTAACATACGAGCTGAGCAAGAACTGGCAAGATGATGGTGGCAGCGGCCGCGTTGTTGACCACTTCCGTTATCATGGCCGACATGAGAGTGACGATGAAGACGAGGAGTGCTGGTGACAAGGAATCCAGGCTTCGCATCTGCTGACCCAGCCAATAGGACAAGCAGGACTTCTCTGAGGCCTTGGCTATCGCGAATCCCCCGCCGAAGAGGAGCACCACTCCCCAGGGGATCTTCTCGTGGAGGATCCTCCAGTGGAGAAGGGCCGGGCTCGACTGCGACGGTGCATCTAAAAGGGGGGGATTCTTCATCGGGACATACATTCAGTGGCAGCTCTTGGTTCATCTATGGAGAAGGGGTAAGCCGTGCCCTCCTTGCCTACCGCCTCTCCATAGACGTACAACTAGCGCTAAATATCACTAGCCGCCACTGCATACCTTATTCATTAAAATTCCATAGGAGGCACCAGAAAAAGGACAAGTGTTGCTTCGTAGCTCGTACAAACAGGAAGTGAAAAAAATTAAGGAACTTTACTTGACTAAAGCTCGAACTCGAGCTATACTTGAACTGTATGCCGTGAACTCTCTCACCTCACGGATTTTTGCAACGCCAGTCCGTTACGTCTGAGGCGCGTGACGTGCATCTATCTTACCACACCTGAAGGGCAAAACACTTCGGCGTATGCTTTCGTATGTAGGAGAAAATCAGCCAAGTGCGCCATCGTGCGCTTTCGTGAATTTCTTGACGGATTCATTCAACAAGTGATATTTCACAAACGTTCGTAGATATTTACTCTAAGTAGCTTTGTTGCACGGCCGACTACTTGATTTGCATTTCGGGGGAAGACTGCTACTACGTTACAAGTGAGAAGATGATGGATATCCATTAATTTATTCGGAAAGGATGATGCAATTGCGTTCCAATTTTCCGCTCATTCCCAAATAGCCAAATCATACGTATCACTTTCGCGAATCCATGAAAGAGAGAAGCTTAGGCAGGACGGTCCCGCCTACCAGATGATTCCCGGAAGCACCAGAAGTTGGGCTTCGCGGGGACGAGAAAGAAGGCGAAGCCGATGAGAATCGCAGCGGTTCCACCTCCGATGTCCGAATCCCTATTCATTGTTGGAATGTAAACAGATGGAACACGAAGGGGAAGGAGGGGAAGGAGAAAGGGGAACGGAATCAGAAGAGAGCGTACCGGTCTCGACCGATGAAACTGGCCCATCCTGGGATGAACTGGGGTTCCTGGAAGAACCAGAGGAGAACGAGAGCGACGAAGAGGGCGAGGGTCACTAATTCGCGGAAGGACATGGATCCGAGATCCGCGTATTTCTTGGCGATCACCCTGCGAGCAGCCTCTTCCGCGGCTTCGCTTTCACCAGGCACGCTACTCTCTGGGTCTTTCCGATGTTTCCTCCATCTGCACGTATGGGATCCGGTCCCGAAGACCATCGAACGGAGAAAAGTCGATCCCGTCGAACGCACCCAAACTCACCGGGCAAAGCGGACGACGCATTGGAGCCAGTTCCAGGCGATGAAGACATTAATGAGCATGCCAGGGACGTTAAAGGCCATCCACGTCGCGTAATTCAGTCCTGCATCAGACCCGTACAGCCTGGAAATCCGAGCAGATTACTCTTTCGTCCCCCCTTCAATCCAGAGCACGGTGACGACGAACGACGGACGCTCGACCGTCGTTCATTGTCACCGTGCACACGAAACCCACGAGTCCATACAGACACCGAACGAATGAGAATCGAGACGTAAAGAAAGCCACATACTTGTCGACGAGAGCCTTAAATACGAGATTCGTCGGCGAACCGACGAGGCTCCCAGTCCCTCCCACGAGCGACGAATAACCCACGGCCAAGAGGATCTGGACCCTGGCCTCTCGGTAGCCTTCTTTCGTCTCCTCGCATCTCCCCTCTTCACAGCTAGATGAAACGAGCATCGCAGACGAGTGGGTATCCCCCAGAAACGTTATCATCAGTGAAAACGGAAGAAAGCAAGGACGATGAAAGAGGTGCTCTAACTCTCGTTCGACCATGGCGCCAGGCGTTCCGGATGCGACGGACGCGAGCCGCTCCTGCAGGTGGACGCGTCGCCCTTCCCCTCTCCACGGAGCATTCGCTGCCTCGATCCTCGGGTCGCTCTCTCGCCTCTGCCAGATGCGTTCCATCTGTCGATGTTTGCTCTCATCGTCAGGAAGAGTTCAAGACGTCATACCTCGACGCGATAGAGTTGGAGGAGAACGGCTTCGACGTTGGGGATCATCATGGCCGTGGCAGCCGCGTTGGGAACCCACATGGACAGGAACATCGTCGTCAGCATCATCCCCAGCATCAACCTGCCGCGTAACGAAAGTTACCATAAGAAATATGCTCATGTTATTCGTTTATGCCTCCTCAACGGTTATCGTCATCGGGAGTCAATTCGCGGAGATGTGAAAATAAAACTCGAATCGTCAGAGACCGAAGAAAGACAGAAGGTAAGGAAAACGGACCGTTTCTGGGAGACTCCGACCAAGAGGAGGACCTTGAGTGCGATCCTCTGGTGAAGATTGCAGCGTTCGATTGCGATGGCGACCGTGAGACCCCCTGCGCAGGCGCAGACCTCCTGCAGTCAGTTCTCGCCTCCGCAGCGAATGCGAACGAGGGAGAAAACGTACCTACGAACACCATGGAAGTGTCCTTGAGGAACGACGCGCAGACTTCGGAGGCGCCGAGGACCCCGAGGAGAGGAAAGAGGAAGACTGGGATGAGGGACGCGATGGGCAAGGGAATGGCTTCTGTCGTCCAGAATGCCGCCACGATGAGGACGACGTATGCGCACCTTCCCTCCATCTGCGAGTGGAATCCGCTGTGATTCATCAACTTCTTTCGATAATAAGCACGCGGCACCGTACCTTCTGCTAAGCTTCATCGGTACGCATACATTCTCGTCGTATCAACCGACAGTTAACTACTGTATATTTTCCTTCACCCTAAAGAAACTTCGCATACACATTAGTGAACGAATGGGCAATCCTGTTTGATGATTTAGTAGAACCAATTCTTTCTCAATTCCCATGAAAAAATCCGTGATCATAATCATCGGCTCAATGGGAATCTGAATCGGCTTCGGACAGAGGATGTAACGCAATGCTGCGATCGGAACGGCTAAGGTTCCAGAGCAGCATGAGAGAAAATACATGGGGCAGTCAAATGAAAACGGGACATGAGGCGAATCGCCTCTTTGCTGCAAATCGGTAGAAATGATCCGTACATCATTTCTCTACATAGTCTCCCCCCTCGTCGATGCACTTGCAAGTGCCCTCATTCAAGAGGAGAAGGGCGTCGGTCGCTAGCGAATCCACTCCTGCACCGCCTCTTCAACCTCGTCGTCTGTATTAAACTTTCGTCCACCGAGAGCCTCTTTTAGGGGTCCGAACAGGTGAAAGTGACTCGGTGCGAATTCAGGGTTATTGGGTGGACTGTTCGAGCACCTGGAAACCGAGCCTCGCGATGGTGTCTTTTGTTTTCTGTGCCGTATGCGGGCGGGCATCATCGTGCTGCAGAAGGACTCCTTTCTTCGGCATGCCACGAGGTTTTGTTCTGATTGATGACTTCAGCTTTTCGCCGAGAAGCGAGGAGTACGCCTGACTGTCGACAGTAAAGCTCAGCTTGAGGAAATCGGCAACGTTTACCCCTCGTGCGTCCCAGCATACGGTCAACATGATCTTCCTCGCCGACGCTTTGAACTTCTCGGGTGGTGACGAGCTGGTGCGGCGCCGTTCCATGCTTTTCCGCTTCGCCTCAGGTGTGCAATGGTGCACCCAGGATTCATCGCCCGTGACGATTCTTCCATGGAAGTCATCACCCTCTCTTTCGAAACGGGACTGCGATGACTGTGCAGTCTTTGCAACTTCAGTTCTTCGGTCGGCCGAATGCCCGAGGCTCTTCCTTGGTGCATTTCATTTTCGCTTTCAATTTTTTCTTCCTCATCGCTGTGCAGTTGCGTCTCGTAGCAGCAGTCGTTCGAGTCTATGGGGCAGAGCTGGAAATCTTAGTAATAAGGCAAGGCCCCAGCGAACGGATTCGATGTAGGAGAGAAGCAGCAATCGAGAATGTCCTGTTTTTCATTTGACTGCCCCTCGTACAAGATACGAAAAAGAAATTTCACTATCTGCCTATGACAATATGGCATCTGGTAAAAAGAGTCTCTGTTAGAAAGCATTTATACCAGTTCCAACTGTTTTGCGTATAAATATTCCTTGTTTAGGACACTCACAACTTTCCATGAACGTGACCAGGAACCAGATTCTCTCATAACAGATTTCTTGCTTCGGTGACCTGGTCACTTCTAGGCGGCCTGCTGCCAGATGAAACCGCGCTGCATCCAAGACTATTCCCATCGCTATCTCGATCAGGCCCAGAGTGGCAAAATCAATGGGACCTACCTTTCCGATGCAACTCATGGTAAAGGTTATTACCGCATAGTGGTACTCCCCAGGGCTTTGAAGCAATTTCTTTCCGCTTACTGGAAATATTACATATTAGGACAACCTCATTACCCAAATATGACCTTCGAATATGGAGTTAATATTCCTATCTCGAGGAGTAATCGGTGGATCGTAGTCCTCAGAGCATACGGGATTCCAGTTTAGGAGAGCGGGAGAGAGAGACTCACCACCCGCTGTTCGGGGACGAAGAGAAAAGGGAGAGCCAAAAGCGGGACGAGGATCACGACCCAGGTCCTCCAGAAGGGGTGGATGTGGGATGTCCACTTCGCTTTCTCGACTGCCTCTGGCACCATCGCGACTGCCTCTGGATGTCGTGGAGCTGCCGGTTGCAACATCCGTTCACCCCGCGATCGATCGATGGAGGAAATAATACCCGTGGAATGAGAGGTATTCCTCGACTTTTATTCCTCTTCTACCTGGTTTTGAGCTTCCGTCGCTCTCGTCTTCTCCCTACGTCATATCACAACTAGACCCAACGGCCGAATGCCACGTACGAGTATCTCCTCCCCGTGCTTCATGCGACCCTCGAACGAAGTGTGAATGATAAACGCGCTCGTGACCGCGTCCTCCATTCGGCGAAGGCCGGAGACGCGAGGGATTTCAGTCGTGATCCTCCACGTGCCGCGCTTTCCCGTCTTCCCGCATTCTCCATTTCCCTCTTTCGCTCTCGATCGGGTGACGACGTCCCGGTGGCAAGATCTCGTCGACTGTAGTCGGTCGTTCGATCAAAGAAGAAAGAGAAAACCGCGTCACCTGACGAAACGGGAACAAGTGGAACCGTATGAAGTAAAATCATGGCCACCTGGAACATCGATTTTCTTTCCTTCGTCAACACGAAAATGAAACCAACACACCCAGAAACGAAGTCATTCGAAGGATGAATAACTTGATAAAGTGGGCAGCGAGGGATGAAATGAAATGAGAAATGAAAAGAGGAATCAGGAAAGGCATTCCTGATTATTCATTTTGTTTCTGTGCTCGAGAACTGCTTCTAAGTACTTATTATGTGTTCATGAGCTCACAGGGTTTATGAGAATCTCATCGTTTTCTGGTAATAATACGGGATCGCCAAAATCAGAGCATTCATTCGATCCAATATGGTGAATGACAGCTCCATCACAGATCATGTACAGTGGACTCATCATGATGATTCAAGGGACCAGACAACTTCATTCTACAGGGTGAGGCAAAAAAATCTCGGCGCTTTCTGAACATTTCAGGCGGATCTGGAACTACTCACTCGCGCTGCGGATCCTCCAAAAAAAAAGACTGATAATGCTTCCCCCCCCCCCCCCCCATAGACGACCAGCCAAGGACTCGAAAAATACTTAGAAATGATCGACGGTGGCGTGGAGTGTTGCAAGCAGGCATCCGTGCTGGGTCGAATCCATGGGTGTTGCGCTGTCACGCCTGGGTCGATGCCAAGTCGTACTCGACGCCGTTCGTGAGATAGGTCCAAAAGGTCAATCATGTAATGAAAGCAATGAAGGGTTTGGAAATATTTATCGAAAATTCAACATACAACTAGAGAGTACCAGCCCAGATACAGATCTGGCATTCCCTGCACCACTGGAATTATTATGGACGCGCCTTCGGCGCTCTGCGATCTAAGGCATCTGTTTTCGATGCTCACCCCTACTAATGCGGTCAAACTCCTTTGTTCATGGGTTCAATTCTTGCACCTTAAAGTAAAGGTGTTAAAGAACATTATAAATGACGCCATGTCATTTGTAGCATAAGGATCACCAATTAACATCATGTCTAGAACATGGTTAGAATTAGCGTCACTCAGTCAGTCAGTCACCATCGTCTATATATATTAGATGTCGTAGGGTTTGGTGAAATTCAGGGGATTTCGAATTTCCCTAGGGAGTGACAGAATTTCGCTAAACCCGCAGGTTTAGCGAGATCTTTTCGAAATCCTCCATATGTCACCTTCTCCTAGGGGGATTACAAATCACCCAGATTAACTGCCAATGTGTCATCATTTTGTTTACCTCTAGGGAGAAAGGGAATCAAAGAAACATTCGGGGGAAATGGAATTTCTTTTCGGTCCATGAAAATTAAGAAAAAAATCCACGTCAATAATATTCGAAGCGGAATCCATTTACAATATACTTGTCTTATTTTGGGAGGTCGCATGGCTTTCCCCCATGACACTAAGATGAGCATGTTATGCCTAGTTTTTTTTTTTTAAATACCAGGATCTGTCGGTGCGGCAAGACTTGTTGCACTTGCGGATGGATTCTGCACCCCCACTGACGTAGCTTGTTTCTGTCCTCAAAGCCTTCGTCGAGAACACCGTCATGTCATTAGGCACCTCCACGGCTTGCTCGTCAGTTGCCTTTACTAACTGTTCTGGGAGGAAGAGCGAGCCAATCACTCCAGCGTGAGTCCCCCAAAAACACCTTGCCGCCTTCTTGCCTTACCACTCTCTCCCGCAGGTTCCGGCGATATGTATTACTTCTGTCTGTTCTTAGGATGCAGAGCAGTACGCGGTCGTCAGTTTAACAACTCTCTCTTCGTTAGTGGCAGGCAGAAGCAGTCGCGGCATTCTCACCGATAGCTAACTCGTCATTCTTCAGCCTTAAATAATCCGTCAACACAAACGAAAGGAGAATTGCCCTCGGCGGGACAAGCTGTGGGAAGGGCAATTTTCGATTCAAGGAGATATGTAATTTCCCCGGGTGGATTGACATTGACACAACTTTGATAGGATTTCAAATTCTGTCTCTCCCTAGGGAGATTCGAAATCCCCCTTGAATTCCACAAAACCGTTCGACATATACAGTAAATTCACCGCGTCCTAACCATTCAACCTTGAAATAAATAATAGCTGTTATTGATTCGGCGTAGGCCTATATGAAAAGGCCTGGACAATTAACCATGTTCTCGATCGTTCGTGCGTCCGCGTCGCGTGGAGATGGGAGGAGAGTATGTGGAGGATGCCAGATGCACATTTTACGCGTACGCCAAGCAACCCAGTCTACGCGGCCGGGAGCAGCCGCTCTCCCCCCATTGTCTTCTAAGGATCCGTCAGCCGCTAGGGCTGGAAGGGATGTGGATGTTATAGCGGAAGACGGGCACCTCCAAAGACCTTATACTAAGAAGACTGGACACTGCGCGAAAGCGAGGTAACCGCAATGGCGGTCTATGCCCTGGTGGTTGGCCTTCGAACTAACGTCAACGTTTCTTGGAGCAGAGCGCTAGTGTCTCTTGAACGAATTCGCGCCCGAAGTCTGACGCCATTTCTATTGCGCGTGACTGATTGACATGGCTAGCGGAAGACCATGGAGAGGAGTTGGGAAAAAAAATGTTCGGAGAATCTCCCGGAGGGGTCTTGAATTCTGGAATTCAGACAGAATTGCAAGACGATGCATGCTGCGTAGGTTACCTATGTAGCAAGGAATCAGTTTTTTTTTTAATTTACGAACTGCATAATTTTCATGAACTGGAGATTGCTGAATCACAATGGCAATATCTCCTATTGCCAAAAACATTTTGGCTTAGCTGCCAGCAACAATGTGTGCGAGTAGTAGCCAGCTGGACCACAAGAACACAAGCCTAAAGAAAGGCTGTAAATCCAAAGCAAAGCTGCAAGATAATTATCCACAGTCTATTTTTGTCCCTTCAAAATTGAAGTCATCCCATTCTAGCAGGCCTGTCAATCCGAGACGCGAAAATGTTGACCTTTTCGTTTGGGTCATTGAGGTTACTCAACATTTTACTTCATCCGCCTGTTACATTATGTAAAGCCATGACCATAGCCCTAGTGCAACGCCCTAGGAGAACACATGCGCGTGTCTTTCCGGTTCCTTGAAAAACCGATGCAACGGAACATTTCCATCCATTTGGCCCAATTTCTCCTGGCATGGTGCATAGGCGCAACACTTGGATCCAGAAGCAGCCACTTTTCATGCGACATTCCAATCCAATGATCCCATTGGTCAGCTCTGCGTAGTTCCGGGGCCCACCACCAGGGCAGAAGGTTTTCCCGACATCAAAGGCGCCGCCACAGAGTGTCCAGTCTTAGTATAAAGTCTTTGGGCACCCCGATTCAGGCGGAAAGTTTTGCGCGTGCGCATTGGGTCGTGTTGTCCGGTTGCTGTGGACACTGCGGACAGACGGAATGAAAAAAAAAAGAAGGAAAGAAAAAAGGGGACAGATCGACCGCAATATCTGCCATTTCCCCATAGTACCATGGGAATGTCAGATAAAGAAATAAGCCAGTGCAGAATCATTCAACGTGCTTCAAATGTCCCAAGATTTCAGACATGAACTCACGCTGAATAAGAATGGAACTGGAAAAGTATTATGGAAGAGGGGGTCGCAGAACTCATATTTCACGACGGAAAATGAGGAATACCTAAATTATTAGGTATCACGAATGCAACTCTGTTTCTTTCGCTGAAAATCGTTTTTTTTTTATTTTCAGAATGCAAAAATACAATACTGCACGTCCGTGACTACTGCTGTCCTGAAGGTGGAAAGATAACATCTCGACATCTCATAAAAGTCTGATGCAAGTACTGAATGATACAAAGTGCTTTATGACTTCTGTCTATGAAGTTCTTCTTAAAAACACGAGGGGTTCGGAAGAAGGAATAAGAGATCAGATAATAAATGAAAAGGCCTTTGAGGTTGCTAGTAGAGAGTATAGTTGCAATAAGAGGAGGGGGAGGAGCTTGAATTCCTGACCGCGTCTGCCCAGTCGGGGAATTTGGAGAAGTCGAAGAGATAATCCCCCAACGTGTTGATCATCAGGTTGATTACCCCCACACATATTACGTTCATGACGAACCCGGCCTTCATCTGTGTCGCAGGTGACAATGAGAAATCGTCGGGTCAAAAAGGCGGGATAGGGAAGTGCCTCGACGTACCATGGTGGAGGTCTTCATCTGGGTGGCCTCGAAGACGATGGCATTGTATGGAGTGGCCACTGGGAGCATGAAGGCATACGAACAGGCCACGGTCGCTGGCAGCATCAGGTACAGAGGATTCACCCTCACCACATTTGCCTACACTCATAGGGGAACGAGGGACAAGGCAGTCGAAGAGGATCCAGATCTTAATCTTTAAAAAATAGCTGGCTTTATTTTTGAACATATGAAGAAAACTTGTCGGAAAAAAAAACAGCCATTCCATTCGATGATGGCATAGGGCATGAATAGCAGGCTGGATATCTTAGTGGATGGAAATGGCATCATACCAGCTGAGCAAAGACGGGTAGGAGGATGCTAGCAGTAGCTGTATTGGAAGCCACTTCCGTTATCATGGCTGTCATAAGAGTGATGATGAAAACGAGAACGGACGGGGACAAGAATCTTAGGTTTCCCATCTGCTGGCCCAGCCAGTACGACATGCAGGATACCTCGGAGGCTTTGGATATCGCGAATCCTGCACCTATCAGGAGGATCAATCCCCAGGGCATCTTTTCGTGGAGGATTCTCCAATTGAGAAGAGCCTCGCTTGACTCTGACGGCTTATCTAAAACGGAGGAGATCACTTGCTCCCTGCTGCTGCATTAATGATTGTAGGGAAGAAGCAAAACCATGCTTCCAACCTGATGAATCTCGGAAGCACCAGAAGTTGGGTTTCGCTGGGATGATGAAAAAGATGAAGAGAATGAATATTGCTGCGGTCCCATCTCCGACTTTTACATTCCTATGATACAGTACTGCTATTGATGGTCTGTTCTGCAGTTCACGGAGAGACGTAGATGACGGAAGGTAAACAAAAGAACAAGAGTGCATACCGTTTTCCTTTGATCCAATCGGCCCATCCGGGGACAAACTTGGGATCCCGGGAGAGCCAGAGCACAACCAGGGCGACAAACAGTATAAGGGTCAAGAGTTCGTGGAAAGACATGGATCCTAGTTCAGCGTATTTCTTGTTGATCACGGCACGAGCCGCTTCTGCCGCCTTCGCCTCTTCGCTTCGACTCGGAGCCCTTCTGTCAGGATGCGTTCGACGATCTCTCCATCTGCACGTGGCATCCGGTTCTGGTTCGTGATCATCAAGAGAGTCGTAGATCTACTTGCAGACGTCGTGACTCACTGAGCGAAGAGGAAAATTCCTTGGAGCCAGAGAGAGGCGATGAAGACATTGAGCAGCAATCCCGGAACATTGAAAGCCATCCAGGTCCCATAATTCAATCCAGCCTCTGGTCCGTACCGCCTAGAAATAGACACGAATACCTCTCTCTGACGAAGCATCGTTCCCTCCCCCCACCCCCTGTCTCCCCATAGCAAGCCGCGAATGAGGAAAACGAGAACGAAATCTACATACTCGTCCACGATACCCTTAAAGATGAGATTGGTTCCCGTTCCGGTGAGGGTCCCAGTCCCTCCAATGCCTGCCGAGTAAGCCACAGCCAAAAGGACTTGGATCCGGGCATCGCGGTAGCCTTCTTTCAATTCCTCCTCCTCGTTCTCCTCCTCCTCCTCCCCGTTTTCCGACACGTTGGATCTGTTCAGACATGGATGAAAGCATTCAAATCGTGAAGAGTGATTTTTTTACAACTTCTGTCGCTAGTCTGAACCTTCATCGCGACAGTCCTGTTGGTCCTTCCCTCCAATCACGGAGAAGGAATCTCGTGCCAGGAATCAAGGAAGTGCTGTATCATGCGAGCGGGACATCAACGGAAGCGCATATAATGCGGAATCGATGCGCAGGAATGAACGGGACATCGATCGACGACGTGAGGATACCGACACGGATGGCCATCGTGTCCCCCTAGCCTAGATTTACTGATTTTTTTGCCGCTCCTAATCGTCATCTCCCACGTGACATAGCATTCTTGCCGATGGAGTGCATGGCGTACAGTAGCTTGGGGGTATGACGTATCTAGACCATGCCCTTGGCAGCTGGCCCATTTGATCATCGGTGGCAGGGTAGCCTTCGCTTTCACCATTATCTTGGTGCTATATCCTTTCTTCTCATACCAAGTAATTACGTTTCATGTCTGAAATCTTAAATATTGGGAATTCATGTTGGACCATAAAAAAGTCATTACAAACAGAGAAATATGATTCTGACTCATGGCTACGTGACAGAAGTGGGATGAGTCCAAGAATATTTCAGATCAGAAATCCATAGAGTCAAACTGCCTTAACCCTCTCAGACCTGGCGTCCATTCCAATGGACATTGCATTTTCATTGCGTCTGTGGTAATTTCTATTCTAATTCTCGTGATTTTGCGCCCCATATTACACTACAATGGGCGCAATTATGCATGGTTCAAATTCCATTGGAAACTTTTCACCGTCAGTTTTGTAATCTTCAGTTATATAATTAAATATATAATTTATTATATATGGTATGATATGGTAAATTTAAACAAAATATAAAAACAACATATGAAACATAAATTAAATTACAATAGTGAAAGAACGCAAAAATGCAAATAAAAAATATATATATATATCATTCCGATAGTGGCCTTAATTCGGGTTTGAAAGGGTTAAATGGAACAAAAAGGCATTGCAACAATCGACATATCGAATTGAGCTCCTCAGGCTCGACAGCTTTCCTCGATGTAGTGGCTTGCCCGAGGAGAGGGGGGGGGGAGTGGGGGTCATAACCTCTCCACCCTTGGGATACATTTTACAGGTTCGATTCCCAAAAAGAATTTTTTTGGCTTTATATGCAGGGCGGATTAGCAATTTTTCATGTCGACTCCCCACCCGCATTAGGATTTTCTGGCCACGCTACTACCTCTATGGATGCCAAAGATATCTCAATTTTGTCCTAGCCCTTTTTATAATAGCGTAACCATTTGGTCACAGTATACACATGCAACAAAATAAAAACAGTTTTCCATGCTAAAAAAATGGGTTGACCTTACTGGGCCCACTGTTCAAAAATAGCAAAGGTTAATATCCCAACCTCTTGCCCCATTCCTTGCGGATTGAGGCAAGTTTTCTCGTCAGCCCCTCACCCTATTGCTCGATTTTATTTCGCATCAGCAAGGGCTCCTATGTCGCATTTCAACGTTGACTCCTCCTGGGTGTTTCATCACCCCTTTCTCCGCTGCTTAAATGGAAATGTTTGGCAAGTTTTATTTGCGAATTTTCATCCGACTCCCATGAAACTCTAATAGTTTTCATGACGTACTACTACGAGTACGTATTCCAAATTTCATTGAGATCACTCGACTCCTTCTTGATGTTCCTTTTTTGCGATGACTGGAATTCTATTCATGGGAAATTTCTGATGGGACCGAAAATTCAACTCAGAAGTCATTTTGAAGTTGTCTAAAGTGTATCAAATTTCGTAATCACACACGCCTTCGCAGTCTGGGTCTGCTCATAGATTCCCAATAGGATCATCTGTCTAGAAACAGTACGTTCCCTCATTAGGAATGCCTTCCGCATTCTTGGATGGACGCAGAGCGAATGAATCTATGAAATCGCCTATTTCTATCCCATCCTCATCTATACGCACATGCTGGGATATGCTTATTACAGTGTCTGCTCGGTCCGCTGATACAGCCAACTTCCCAAACACGTATCCCATGAATCGCAACCAAACCCATTTAAATAAAACTCATGCTCATCTAGTCCATAATATATGCCAGGGTAGCTCATTGAAATTTTGGGGAAAATTTGCATATGTCAAAGATAAGATGCAGTTTTCCCTGTGGGCTGGATCGATCAAAAGAAGGACAGGTTGAGTTTCTGCCATGCTCCCAGGACCTAATTCTTATGGACTTTTGGCGCATTATCGAGGATAGTATGCATTACGACGGGGACAGTGAACTCAAGACAATATACAGGTTTCCTCGAGGTTGAGTGCTGCCTACTACGCAAGGATATATGTCATACAGCCTGCTCATCAGTGCTCAGTCGCACGGAACGATGTGTGCATCAATATATGAACGAGAGTGCCAGCCCAGGTCCAGATCTGAAATTCCCACTGACCACTGAAATTATCTTCGCCGCACCCTAACCATAAACCTTTGAAATATATACAGTCGTGGCCATAAGTTTAAGACCACCCTTGAGAAAATGTACTTGTTTCTTCTGAACGCAGTGATTGCATCAGAAATGAAATTGATTGCATGGGATTGCGTCATCCTTACGTCGGCCTATTGTAGTCACTTTTCAATTGACCATCACGCAGTAAACACTTCATTACGCCGCA